TGGAACAAAATGAAACACTTGCCGCGCTTCGAAACAAAGCGCAACGTAAATAAAATAGTGGCCAACGATTTCATGTTTCATATTGATCCAATAACAGATTGGTGTTTCACTTTGTTCGGCGATTTTTTTGCGTTTCGTATTCATCGGCGAAGAGTCAATACGTTGTTTTTATGCTCACGGGTTCAATTATTCTTGTGTCATGAATCATGACTCATGATAAGAATTTTTTACTTTTCCGTACACACCGTGTCAAGGGAAAGTATAGGAATTGGTCCCGAAAACTTTTTTCGCAAAATTTTTTGAGACACTTTTCCGTTCGTGTGCCGTCGTCGTCGTCGTCGTCGTCGTTGGTGTTTGTTAACACGATAACTCAAAAAATAATCGGGATAATCAAAATCTGGAAATGCCAAAAGTTTTGTATTCGAAAAACTTAGTTTAAGTTCGAAGATGAGCCATTTTCGATTTGATCCTGGGGTACTTTCCCTAAGAAAAACCTCAAAAATTTACACTTTTGTATGGGAGGTACCCATAAATCGACTGCGATTGGATTCAAACTTTCTGGGGTTTCATTTTTTGGAGAAAAAATAAGATTCTGAAAGTTTCATGTTGATCGCATTTGCAGAAGATTGATTTTTTGTCCTCAATTTTTGTCGAAATTTTTTTGGAAAAAATTGAGGGCCAAAAACCAAACTTCTGCAAATGCGATCAAGATGAAACTTTCAGAATCTTATTTTTTCTCCAAAAAATGAAACTTTAGAAAGTTTAAAGCCAATGGGAATCGGTTTACGGGTATCTCTCATAAAAAATTGTCGAAGTTTTAGTTAAAGTGACCGATTTTTCAATTTATTTTTATTATTATATTTTCAATGCCTTTATTTCAAGAAAATTCACAAAAAATAACCAAAAGTACCTACGGACAACGCAGGCCAACGGTACGGAAAAGTTCGGGATTACCAATGTAATTCTTTTTATTTGCGCTCGTTTTCAATGCATTTCTCTTTCCTTTTCTCTTTTTTCCAATTTTTTTTGCAGATATAGTTTGTTAGGAAAAATTTCACCCATCTGTTCCATGTTTCGTTGTAATTATCACATAACTGCTTGTTGGATAAGGAAGACTGTATTGATTATTATAAAGGTGAATTTTAGCTCGAACTGGAATCACTATCTTCTGTTGCATCGGATGTCTTCTCCAATGAGCTTACGTTTGCACTGACTCTTAAGTTCGCTGCATCTACTGTCACGGTCATTAATCTTCCATTGTCGTTATTTCTGACTCCATCACGTTTCAGTACATCCGAATACATGTTCGAAAGTGCTTTCTCTAAATGATCGAATGTTGGGCGATCTTTTGAATCTTCCTTCCAGCAAGATATCATAAGGCTATAACTATTTGCAAAAGTTAAAATTGTTATTATTTGAAGCGTTCGTAAAAAGTCTTTGATGAAGCTCATGAAGTTTACTCTTCTATTCTCACATTTCTTCCGTAGCCTTTTCTGGTTTTCGCAATCGGATGCTACTTTTCAATTGGTCCATCGTATAGTAATATGGATCGATTCCTTCTGAATATAATTCCCAAATTACGACACCAAACGACCAAACGTCAGATTTTACACTGAATTTCTGTTCTGTTCCGTGTTCTGGACGTGACTCGATGGCCATCCATGGAACTGGATCAGGAGCCTGTGAATGAAAGAAAAATTCTCTCTTACCACTGATTCAAAGACATTGTTCATTCGTTCACATTTTTACCCATGACGTTTTTTTATAATATCCTTTTCCGTTCAGTCTCCGTGATAGGCCAAAATCACCGATTTTAACCGTTTTATTCTCGCAAAGCAAGATGTTTCTAGCAGCTAAATCACAGTGTATGATGGGAGGTTCATTTGAAGCCAAAGATAGCAATCCGCTCGCCACTTGAACAGACCAATTAAGCAGATCCGTTGTTGTAAATGGGAAGGTGGGTGTTAGAGGTGAATCAAATGATTTTTCAGATTTCTCTTTTGGATTCTCTGCGAAAAAATCGAAATTTAGAAGAAATTCCACAACACACACATATCCACAAAAGGCACCTTCTATATATTCGGAACTTCCAACATAATCGCCTATTGTCTTCTCGTTTGTCTCACATTGGCTAACAGCCGATTGTCTATTTTTCTTCAAGAAACTGCTAAGATCACCATATGGACAGAACTCATAAACGATCTTTATTCCACCTGTTGAAAATCAAGCATTTGATTGTTTCCAGCGATTTTGAAAGTTAACCTCAGTTACCTTTAAGTGCGTTCCTAGTGCCCACTGCCCCAATAAAACCAACAACATTGCGATGTTTGGGTAAACGTTTTACAATGTTTATCTCCGCCAAAAGTTCAGCTATTCCCTATTAAATTCAAAGATTAATCTTCAATAACAATGAAAGAGCAATAACCGAAACGTACCGTGAATTTTGGATCAGTTCCTTCGCTGGCTTTAATCGATTTTATAACAACTTTTTTCTTTTGGGAAAATGGGTTTATTGGTAACAGTTCTCCAATGTACACATCACTGAAATTTCCACGACCAATCAATTTTCCTAGCCGCAGTCGATTGCGAAGTGAGGTAAAAATGTGATATATCGCAACCAATAAAATCGCAATCATAAAAATGAAAGACAACACGAAAGGCCATGCAGGCACTAGAAAAAAAAAACAAAACAAAAGTGAATAAGAATATGATTTTAATAAAATGAAATGATTTTCTAAAAACTGTTCTTCATCCATTTGAAGAATCCAATGAATGAAAAATAAAGAATGTTTAGGAGTTATCGTGGAAATTAAACGATGAAGTTCAAAACAACACTCTTTCTCACAAGAAAATGTCCTTTAAAGAATAAGTCGAAATTTGTTCGGTTTCGCCCAAAATGTTGATAATTACCTTTATTCCGAATTTTGGCAGCGGCATCTTTAAGTATTTTAAAAGTATTCTTCTGCCCTGAATTACAAACAGAATACAATTAAAAGATTGTATGTGATCTAGGCTTATTGGCGATTATTATATAATTCGCAGAAATACCTTTTTCGTTTGCAAGGTCTATTGGTGATTTTCTTTGTTCGTCCTCAGCAAAGATGTTGGCTCCATTATTAATAAGTTCTCGAACAGCATTCGTCTGTCCTGAATTGCAGAAGAAACAAAATCAACAGATTGCTTACGTTCGGATGTAAGAATTTAGACAATTACCCCGCCATGCAGCCAAATGAAGTGCTGTCCATCCATCCTGAGTTTTAGCATTGACATAGAAACCATGTTCGATGAGAATTTTAACCATTTCCGCATTGTCTGCATTGCAAAAAAAAAAACAAAATCAAAAGATTGTCTGTGTTTGGAAGTAAGAGTTTAGACAATCATCCAGGTGCATTTATCTCTGACGTATCACTAGATTCACCATAAATTTTGGATCATCGTGAGAAAAAAAACGTCTTGGGCGAGTTTGCTCAAATTAGGCCGGGAGGTGTTGTATGTAAATATCTTGGATGTATCAAAAATTGGACCAAATTGGACCAGTTCATCTGGTGCTTTTGGTGAAACCGTATAGTACTTGTATGGGATTGTAGACTTATTTTTACGTAAAGAACTAATATGCGCCATCTCTAGTTTTTTAAATGAAGTTAATTTAGTTCTCTTTCTTTTCTCCACATTTGCATGTTATTTCGTGGGAAATTCTTCTGAGCCTTCAATTCGGTTAGAAAATCTCTCCACATCAATAGATGTCATTGCTGTAATGTGTGTTTTGACTGTTTCTGAATAGCCGTACATGCTTGTTTTGGTGCATCATGCAAATTTTTCTGAAGTGCACCCAAGTGCGGGCCCTTGGATTTTTTCATGAATTTTTATAAACAAAAAAGATGTGCGGAAAAGTACGTTTTAACAAAAGTAAAACTTTTTATTTACGTTTCACTTTGACAAGCGATTCGTACAGAGATTCGAATCCTTTCGAGTCGCTGCAATGTATTCACTATAGTGATTTGTGAATTGAATTTGACACAGTATAATCTGCAATGTATACATATTATAATATGTACAAAATGATTCGAATCACATGAGATTCGTGCGAATCGTTTGTGGGATAAATGCTCCTAGACAATTACCCAGCCATGCAGCCGAATGAAATGCTGTCCATCCATCCTGAGTTTGAAGATTGAGGTCGGCGCCGCGTGCGATGAGAAATTTAACAACTTCCAAATGACCTGAAAAAGAACAAAAATCGAATGATTTTTTGTGTTTGGAATTAACCGCTTCGACAACTACCCTGCTGTGCAGCCCTATGAAGTGCTGTCCATCCATCCTGAGTTTGAGAATTGATGTTGGCACCGTGTTCGATGAGAAATTTTACAATTTCCGCATGTCCTAAATTGCAAAAGGAACAAAATGAAAAGATTAACCTATCACTTTCTTCAAGGTCGCTTTGGGTATCGTAAGCAGGTATTCTGATATATCGACTTGTTGGTGTGCAAAAGTAAGATTTGTAAGAATAATTATTATAGCTGCAATAACTAAAAGTGCTCAAATTCCATTTTCTCCTTGACTGCCAGCAGCTATGGCTGCTCCAAATCCTGTTTCTTTGAGTAGTATTTGGCGAAATAAAATTAGTAAATAAAGTAAGTAAAATCTTGGAAAATCACCCTGCTGTGCAGCCCAATAAATTGGTGTATATCCATTCTTGGTTTGAGCAGTGACGTTGGCACCGTGTTCGATAAGAAATTTAACAACTTCCACATGACCTGGATTGCAAAAGGAATAAAATCAAAAGATTGTTTGCATTTGGAAGTATTAGTTTAGACAATCTTTCTCTGAAAATACCTTCCTGTACAGCCAAATGAAGTGCTGTATATCCGTCCTTGTCTTGTGCATTGACGTTGGCATCGTGTTCGATGAGAAATTTCACAATTTCCGCATGTCCTAAATTGCAAAAGGAACAAAGTTATGAAATTTTATGCGTTTGGAAGTAAGACGTCAGACAATATACAATAACCTTGCCACTCAGCCCTAAAAAGTGCTGTCCATCCGTCCTTGGTTTGAGCATTGATGTTGGCACCGTGTTCGATGAGAAATTTCACTATTTCCGCATGTCCTAAATTGCAAAAGGAAAAAAAAATCAACCGACTGATTGGGTTTGCAAGTAAGAGTTCAGACAATTACCTTGATATGCAGCCATATGAAGTGCTGTCTCTCTATCTTGGGTTTGAGCATTGATATCGGCGCCGTGTTGGATGAGAAATTTCACAACTACCACATGACCTGGATTGCAAAAAGAACAAAATCAAAAAGTAAAAAAAAATTGTTTGCGATTGGAAGTGCGAATTAAGACGAATACCTTTCCTAGCAGCCACATGAATTGGAGTCTTTCCGTTATCAAGTTGCACACTCATATTAATTCCTTTGCTGATGAAAGATTCCACTATTGATACATTACCTAATTTATGAACGTATCCCGTACAAAAATGGAATATTTCACTTTCCATGTTGAACAGTTTTCTCAAAAGTATCAAATCATTTATAGATAAAAAAGCACTCGTTTCTTAATTTTTCAATACATTTTCTCCGTCAAAATGGAACTACTCTAATTGCATAATAAACTAACCCTGTTCGATAGCATGTAGAAGCACATCCATTGGTTGTTCGAATCTAGAAAATAAAACGCAGAAAATAATAAAACTGTTCCGAAAGTCAATTCCAAGAGTTTTACTTACACTTCATGTTTCTTAGCATTTGCTGATTCTGAATTACCCGGTCTTGTTTGCGTGTTCACATCTACTGACACTGAAAATGCAGGAGATACAGTAACAAGTAATATGATCACAAGTAATTTGCTCATCTTCGTTTTTCAAAATACAATTCTTTTCTTCGTGAGGTGTCAGTTTGAATCGAAATTCTATCGATTGAGAAATAAAATGGAACAAAAATTGCTGAGTAAAGTTACTATTTGTAATAGAAAATTCCTGATATTTGTCCAACAATTCGACAATAGTCCAAATGTTCACCGAAACACATTCGTTTTCCAACTGAAATCAAGTATTCGTACGATTCTGCTGTTGCTTTCATTTCATATGGTTTGTAAAATAATTCCATCCGCGTTATCGCCTCAGTGAAATATTATGGTGGTGATAGCACTCATTCGTTGTTCGTAATACATTTGTTTTTTTTTCTTTTTCAACAACGGTCCACATTTTGGTTTCAGATTAGTCTGATGATAGACTTGTGACCTTTTTCCCTTTATTTTGATTTCAGTTTTGCTTCAACTGAAATGATAAATTACTCCAGATTTTAGAACTTCTTAGGAAATATTGATTAAAATATTGCAAGTATTGGTCACAGGCTAATAGCAAAAAGTCAAGTCAACCAGCTAAATTTACGTCAAAGCATTATTCTACTTCAAGTAGCTTTAGCGCTCAATCGGCGTTTTAAATTTCTATATAAACGCTGGGCGTTCAAGTAGCAAAAGTCCACTCTTACAAGCGTTAAGAAAGCTATTTAATCTACTTGGATTTTTGGTTTAGATTTGAATCGGAAATCTATCGATTGAAAAATAAAACGGAACCAAATTTCTGAGTAAAATTGCTATTTATAATTTAAAAAAATTCTGATATTTCTTCAACAGTAATGCGGGAATTTGAAAAAAGTTCAAATGTTCACTGAAACACATTCGCTTTGACACTGAAATCATGTATGTATTCGTACGAATTTGCTTTCGCTTTCATTTCTTATGATTCATAAAATAATTCTTTTGTATTACCATTTCCGTTACTTTAATTTTGACAACAATGGCTCGCATTTCGGCTTCAGATTAGTCTGTGCCGGTCAACGGTCCTATTCTTTTTGACTTTGACAACTGATATTGAGCGCAAACACCACCTAGATAATCTAAGGCTAATGACAATACAATCAAGTACACTCTCCGTTCTGTCAAACGTCATACTGAAGTATAACATACAGACATAACGAATTCGCCATCGGTTCTTTAGATGGCGCTTCGGTCAACCGAGTTCATAGCAAATACATGTATCAGTTTGGTGCCGGTATTCTAAGTCATTCCACCAAAATCGTTCGGAATTATTTTTTTCGTACATAAGACCATATTGGAGTGAAAGAGAG